GGAGTCATGCAGTAATACCATTTGATTTATGGCTTACCATCTCATCAGTCAGAAATTCAATTTTACATTCCTTCTAAACAGATTTATTTACTACATAAAAATTATAACTCTTCTTTCTGGAAAGAATGTATGTAGGAAATTTACTTTTTTTTTCTTATTCTATAAATAAATACTGAGGAATTACCTCAGATTCAGCCATGATGCAATGCTCTGAAACATTATGTCAATCATATTATGAAAATTGTAATTTTAGATACAGCACTCAATGAACTGTGGAAAAAAAACAGGATGTTTTAAAATTTATTTTCTGCAGATATGCTAAAAAAGAGTGAAAGAAGGTGATAATCAGTATGAATGCTTGTGGTAAAAACAGGAAGATTTCCCATACCGTATGAGAGGGAATGGAAATAAAAGTGAAGGGCATACAGGCAGATGGATGATGGCTTTTACAGGATCAACCAATCTGTATGTTCACACAGTAATGATACTCTAACTAAATCCCTTTCCGATCCCATTACAATCTGGGCCAGAAAAAATTACTCCATGAAGTCATATGGCAGTAGCAATTTATAAAAACACAGGTACCAAACCACGTGTAAGATTTAAGATTACAAGAAAAATACTTACAGGGGTAAGACTGCTGTTTCCAAAGTTTTCAGTTCACGAGTTCTCGTGAGCATCTTCAAATCGTCCTAAGCTCCTTTATTGTGAGAAAATTGTAGGCAAGATCTTGAGCATCATTCCAGTCTTCAGCAGCCTCATTTTTCTTGATGCTCTTTATCTGATATAAAATGATGAAGTGCCACAATAGTGTTCATTTTCTGCCCTTGACTTGCTGTTAACTCCTGATTTCCTTGATCCAACACTGTTAGCTGTTGGAAAGTAATTTTATAAAGCTACCCCATTTAGCAATGGCCTGAGATGTGTCCTTATGATGGTGATTCCCCTGATCTTTTTTCTCTGTGGATGGGAGTAAATTCAGGTCCTCCGTGTGGTTCTAGGTGTACACATGAGGCCCAGTGAACTACTGAAATGCACAGGTAGTACTGAAATATGAAATGCAACAGAACATAGCTGACTCCATGAGTAAGAAATCAAAAGCTACCATGCAGAACAGCAAAATTTAGAAACAACATAGATCAACAGGAACTCCAAATAACACAGAATTGTATAAAGAGAACAGTGTCTGGCAGCTTGAAACAGAAAATCCAATCCAGTGTAAAATTTCTTTGTTCACATTGTGTCAGTGAACAGGGAGCAGTCAGATAATGAATCTTAACACAATAACAAAAAGTGCCTCTAGATTTGTATCCAAATGGACAGGATTCAGTTTGACGTAAAAAATTTACCATGAAATTAATCAGCATTAATCCTAAAATCAGAGAATATATTAGTGCTATGTCATATAAGAGGTTAGGATTGACTTGAAGTAGTTTTCCCATACCACCAATGCTGGAAATCCCAAAGAAACTGCTATATCATAGCAGAATAAGCACACAAACTATTAGCACTTCTCAATGGAAAAATCAAACAAACAAACATTAGATCAACACAAAATCTTGTTGTTAAAAAAATCCTAATATTTAAATTCATTCTTCTCCTAATTTACACCAGAAATCTTAAGCCTATCATATTCCAGCAGGAGCCAGCAAGACTACCATTCTTCTTTAAAATATTCTGTATCTGCAGTTGTGCCTCTCTTGGCTTGGTTTGACACCAGTTTTATCTTGCTGAAAATGATACAATATTCTGCTTTTATTGCAGAGTGGAGAACTAATGAGACATTACCAAGTTACTCTTTCATCATACTTGCAACCTTTCCAGCAGTGTAAGAATACTCTCAACATTTAAAATATTCAATTCCTACATTCAGTCACTGAACCTACTCTAAAAGTGAGAAACCACACGCTGAAGTTTATCCATAAAGATATCTGACTTCGATCCTTATAAAAAGATCAATGAATCTATTTTTTGGCATTCAGATTCAAATGAGAAATATGCTACTATGCGATTAAGTTATCGCTTCTAAACATGCTATTTCAATCTTCAAAAGTTCTTCAGTGACACTTCCAATAGAGGCTTGCACATCTGTAGCAGAGCACAGCTGTGATGTGAGCTGAAGGATTAATGTCTCTCTCATATATTTGTCACAAAGATAAAACAAGCAGGGTTTTTATCTCAACAAAATAGTTGACTAAATAGAATATACTGTGAATAACCTAATCAGCATAGACTTGTTTTAATGGCATTATTAATAATAATAACTTGCAGTTAATCTTTAATAAACCTTTGGAATCTCTTTTGTCTTTTTTTTTTTTTCCTGTTACAGAAGAAACCCAAAATAAAAGGCTTTATTATTAATTTCAACAGGATGAATCATGACTCAGAAGTGCAACACAGATGTTTCAGTAAAACTGCGACAAAAACAACAAAGTAAAGCAATAAATAAAGCAATTTAAGGTACATACCAACACTCAAAAATCAGAGCCCAAAATTAGAACAAAAGAAAAATCAAAAGTAAATATTAAATACATTAACAGCTAATCATTTTGCTAGACGTAAATACAATGCTGCATGTTTCGTATCTAAATTAAACACAATTCATGCTCAGAGTTTTGAATACTTCTAAAATTTTACTACAAACCACAAGGTTTTTGAGGTACTTCATAAATTTTATGTCTGTATTTCAAGTTTAAGTAAAATCCACACTCTTACTCATTCTAACTTGAATGGATTACTCAGTACAACTTGGTTATGTTTGGAAGACTCAACAGAAAAAGTTTTTTAAAGACAAATCTTAGAATCTCTTTGTATGTCACTGAGGGATAAGTGCTCTTAGCATTTAGGCAGGACCACTTACACATTCAAGAAAATAGTTCAATTCAGTATTGTTCTCTCTACACAGATACGACCTTTCAATTGAGCTTTCAGAATATAGCTTACTGAGATTCACACCTTTTCAGAGGCATTCATCTTTAACAGTTAGCTTTTAAATTCTGTCTTCCTTCAGTGCAAACTTCCTGATACAGCAATACTGTGTTATATGAATATACTGACAAGCTGGCAAATACTTTTACAATCACCAGGGTCTCCAAATGTAAGTTGGTGGTAAAGACAAATTTATTTACTATATTAATTAAATGGTCTATTTAACATGGAATATCAATTCTCTAATCACATCTCATTTGAGCTTCTTATTTCAATTAGCAACCCCAAAGTCTACTAGAGATCCTACTGTTCTAGGATCATTAAGAATGTTTCCATTTTCTGTCAAATGAGGGAGGAAAAGGCAGAAACTGCAACTACTCTCAGGAGTGGGCCCCTACCCTGCTTAAGAGATGATTAGGGAATAAGCAGCAGTAGTTCTCATTAGTTGCTTAGCAATGAAATGTCCCCCTATGAAAGAAGAAACGAACAATGCGAGAGGTGTTGCCATGCAAATGAGTAAATGAGTAGTCTTTCATCCACTCAAGGATAAACTGTCCTTCATTAAATCTAATCAATCTGGATTAAGACACCAATGAGTACCTTGTGGACAGACGGCAGAAGACGAAGAATCCACTGCACAGATTCTCACTGAAGTAGCAAGACAACATGTTGCTCATTTATATATAAGCACTGATATGGTATGTGTGTATGACAAATAGAAACAGAAGGAAAGCAGTTTTAATTCAAGCTGGCTTAACAATTTGTTTTTTTTTTTTTATACTATTGAACCTTACCTTTTATATGTGTTATAGTATTCAAATTGCTAACAAACTATTCTGAAATGCCAACTGAATTACTGCTAATGATCAACAGCAAGTTTAATGTTCATAAAGACTTAAATGCTAATCCATAGAGGAAGACATGAATAACGTGCTAGAGATGAGCATTTAATTGGTTTCCTACGTAACAAATCTGAAAAAAGCATAACTGCATATACAGCCATACATTCAACAAAAATACAACTGTTTCTGCTACCACTGGTATCAGTGCTCTTAATCTTACAAAAGTGGAGTTCTTAAATAACGAAATTTCATTACTGCTGCCTTAATTTTCAACCTCCAGGTCCAGTTTGCCACTCCTTCAGCCACAGATCCACTTCATTAGGTTCTCTAGTTTCATTTCCCTGCCACTCAATAAAGTTTTCCTGGTTTGACAAGTTTTTTTTTTTGTTGGTTGGGTTGTTTTTTTGGTTTGGTTTTTTTTGTGTGTGTTTTTTTTTGTTTGTTTGTTTTTTGGTTTTTGTTTTTTTTTGCAAAGGACCAAATGGAGGAAGCAAGGGAAATGTTTTGGGGGGGGTTTTCTTTCCTCCACATCAGATTATTCAATATGTCAAATTTAAAACTGTTACAAAAACATATGAATCAGAAGAGGGGCATCCAACTTTTTGGCTTGTCCAGGCTACATTGAGTGAAGAGAAATTGTCTTGAGCAGCATATAAAAATATAGCTAATGTACAAGTAAAGCAAACGTATCTATAATATCTTTCATTAAAACAAAAATAGAGAGCAACAAAAACATAAAGCCAGTGGGTTGGATACGTATGAATTAGAGAGAAACAGAGAATTAAACCATCACAGAAAAAGAAAAGATCAAGAGAAAGGGAAACGGGGCAGCTCTGTAGTTAAGAAATAAAGATGACAGCAATGCTGGACTGTCCTTTTGCCAACTTCCAGATCTGACAAAAGACAACTCTGCTGTCCACAGTGCTTTTTATTAGTTGGTTACCTTTTTAGGAGGTGTGGTTTGTTGTTGGTTTTGGGGTGTTGGTTTTTTTCTTTTTGACAAATATCTGAAAGAATCCTGAACTCCACTGAATATTCACACAAAATCTGATCACTTCTCAGTATATATTTAAAAGACCCATACAGATTTGTAACAAAAATACTTACAATAAAATGCACGTCTCTAATTATGCCTTGATTAGCTATTCCAAAATGTTATTCATACTGAGACAAATGCACTGTTCCAAAAACCAGTTCCAACTCATAATTCAGTATGATGATAAATCTTACCTATATATTCACAAACGAAGACTACGAAAAAAGGAGTAACGAGATCATTTATGCCCTGAACATATCCACTGGCTGGGTGACGGATAGCCCAGATAAACAAAATTCTTTCAAAGATCTGAAAAAGAGTTAAAGAAACTCTCAGATAATTTACCACGTGGTGAGCACATTTTAAAGAAGACACTTGAAAAGTTCACAACAGACCCAATGTCACATAGTTACAAGTATAATAACATATATAAAAGCACACATCAACAATTATGTTCATAATTAACTGCCAACGTTAATTATGTTTTTAAGTTACTTTTTAAAAAAGCATTTTCAGGGTATCAGTACACGTTAAAACCAGACTTGCATGTAATTCAGTTACAACAGAGCAGCAATTACTCACTGGAGCTTTTCCAGTGATACAAAATTCCTCTTAATTGCACAGAAATATTAAATCATGCTTTCATGATCATATATCCCTTTGAAACAAGTATTTTCTCAATGTAATAACCTACTTGTTAAGTAACAGAAAGAAGTATTAAATATAATTAGAATTTTTTAATAACATGCCAAAAAATAAAGTCCTTAATAGCTATGCTTGCTTAATACTGCAGCACTGAGTTTTGTACTTCAGAAGCACAAATACCAGTTAATAAAACATCAGACAAAAAAATAATCAGGAAAGGTAGAAATAAGACAACCCTTTATCACTGAACTCCTTGAACCACATTTCTTAGGAAAAGCTCCAATGGCCACAGCATACACAATCTGACTATAGGATGGACAGCATGAGAAGAACATGAAGCAGGACAATCAGAATTTACAGCCACCGTAACTTAGGTCTGTGACAGACAGAATCTCCTCCTGACTGCTCACTTCTGAAAACAGTACATTGCTTCAGAAGGTCGCACATGAGCAGCACTGTGGAAGCCACAACATGTTCTGCCCTAATTATCAGTACTCAATCAAGGACAATCTTGTGAAACAAAGAGAAAGTTTGCTCTTCACAAAGATGATGTGATTAAAAAAAAAAAAAAAGGGTGCAGACAGGCAGGGAAGCAGAGCAGAGGCATGAGAGGTCACCAAACAAAAGGACTACATCAGTTTTAATAGCAGGCTGCAGTACTAATAAAAAGGAAGAGAATTTGTAAGGGGAGGAGTCTCTCAGAGGAGACTGAGTAGAGTTTGCTACAAACCCAGAAATCAATGATTTGAGAGATCTGCCCAGAATGGACACAATAAAGAGAGGAAGTTTACAAGTTTTCTCACTCGAAGCATTTGTTAGCTTAAGAATTGAATTACTCTAGTTTGGATTTAAATAAAAAACTTATCCTTTATCTTCAATCCCTTTTACAGTCATTTTCAGGTAGGGAAATGATTAGGCATATCTGACTTGCATCCAGGTGTTTGAAAAATCCATTACAGGCTTCCATATGTGCTACCTGAAGCTGGAACACGTTTGTGCTTTTCCCTGTGAAAGTCAGTTCCAAGCATCAACATCCACCCTCCTGCCTCATGCATTCAGAATCAACTTTCCTTAACGTGCCAGCTCCTAGTTTCCCTGGCACACACAAGAGCAAAGTGCTGCAAATCCACAGAACAATGAAGATGGGCAACAGTAACAGAAGTGAAAAGCTTTTGTGGGTACTGAAACAAAGCCCTAACGCATCATGCAACAACCAATGCAACAAAAGCCCGAGCTGATCCATTACAGCTACATCGAAAAATAAAACCATTGAGACTGTAAGAGAATAGTTAAGAATCGTGCTGGGAATTATCCAACTTAAAACACAAGTGGGAAGTGACATCAGGTTGTTTTTTGGGTTTGTTTTTTTTTTGCTTGGTCTAGTTTCAGTTTTGAGGAAAAGATCAGGCAGAAAAGCAGGTATTCGATTGCGCATTCTCAAAAATATTCCCTTGCTCTCATTAGCCAAGAACCTTATTACTCAGCTATAAACTCTTACTTTTACATAGTGGGATTAAAAAATATACAAATAATGAGGAAAAAAGAATCAGTAGATAACTATCAAAATACTCATGGCAGAAATGATACAAACAGTGCCTTTCAAGAAGACAAGTTAAGTCAAACAATTTCTAATTTACAACACCAACATTCCCTTCCCTTTCCTCAGAATCAGATAACTTACACAGACTGCACTTCAAACTGAGATACCCCTGGACTTCACAGCATTTTAAAAATCCAGATATGAAAACTAAGGTAAAGGGAGGGGTATTAATTTTTTTGGAACAGTAAATTATTGAGCAGCAAGGATCACTTAGTAATTGGCATACCAGACTTAATATCCCCAAATGCATCTAATCAGAAATTCAACAAATATGCACTAAAATAGTGTTTTCAATTTCCTGCTCATTTTCATGAAGTTTCATTTACTGCTTTGAATCACAAAAAACGAGCACTGAATACCTTAAAGGCAGCCTGATTTAAGTTTCTATACAGTGTTCATCACTGTGTTCAAATAGCACTCATTAAAAAAAGTCACTTTCCCAAAAGGTTTCCTTCTTGATTTCCAAGCCAGCAACAGAAACTGGAATTACTTTTCTAGTATGAACCACCACATCTCAGGAGATGTCATTACCAATCAATTATTCTCTTTTCATTTTAACTCTCATTCACGATAACATTAAGAACTGTATTCATATACATAAGAAGAATCCATTAGTTTAAATGCAGATTTTTGAATTTCTTGTGGGTTTTGCCACCCCAAAGGAACCCCTAAAGCTTTAATCATGAAAGGTCTATGAATTTGCTTTTTATTTCTCTTTAAATAACCAATAAAAGAATTGAAGCAAATTTTATGAAGTAATTTTCAATCTTGTTTCCTCAAAATTACTTCTCCCAAATAACGCGAGCATAGCAGGGAAATAGGCATATACCATCCATTTCAACCTAATTCAATTAGAGACAATACCAGAATTGAAAATATATAAAATTATAGGCTACTGAATTTTACTATTCACGTTAATTAAACCTACACCTAGAGTCACTGATAAAGTATTCACAACAGAGAAGTCCAGCAGACTTGGTCAAACTATATGTGAGAGGACCTTCAACAACCCTCTCCTCCTCTTTCAAGGGACTCCACTCAGAATCACAGAAAGGCCTGGGTTGAAAAGGACCACAATGATCATCAAGTTTCAATCCCCTGCTAAGTACAGGGTCACCAACCAGCAGACCAGGCTGCCCAGAGCCACATCCAGCCTGGCCTTGAATGCCTCCAGGGATGGGTCATCCACAGCCTCCTTGGGCAGCCTGTTTCTGTGTGTCATCACCCTCTGAGTTTTTGTAAAAAAGTTTTGCTCCTGGCTCAAGCATTACCATTCTGCTTGGCACCTTCCAATAACCCCCTCCTACAATCTACACAACTGCCATAAAAATAATCAGATTGATTTTAAAAGGAAGATCTATCTCATTATGAGTTATTTCCATAAAATGTCAAATGCACAATAGTTTTCCTAAACTCAAAGATAAGAGAATTTCTTAAGTAGAATAATCTACGATAAGAGCTTCCAACCCTTAAAGGATTTTGACAGATACAGAAAAAGGAACCACGCTATGAATTAGTTCCAAACACATACATGTGATTCAAATTCATTAAAAGACTCATCTGAAACTCACGTTATTCAGATATAATTCTTACCTCTGTTACTTTGGGCTGAAGTCTTAGAACTTCAGGGCTCATGCGCGGGATATCTATATGAATCTAATTAGACAGAAGCAAGAATACTGTAAAAAGAGCCAACAGCACGCTTTTTAAGTCACAAAAAAAATAGACAAACTTACAGTTTTACACTATTAGTTATAATCCCACTGTATTATTATTTTAGAAATAACATGGATTTAGTTCAAAGCTATAGGACCAAATACTTAAGTCATTATTAATTTAAACTATTAACTGGGAGAAAAAAAAAAAAGGAAACCATTATTTTCTTTCACATTTTAAGATCCTTACACCAAAGCTGATCATTTGCAAACTGTAGTTATATCATCAATACTCCTTGGCTCAGTGCAACTATGCCTAACAACATAACTACTACATATGTGTAAAGCCATGTGCAACTGACCACTGCACACACATTTAATCTGTCCTAAGGAAGTCTAAGATAAGGTTGAATGCTCAAGTCAGTACTTTGTGATGCAAATCATTTATTTTAATAGAAAACTTCAAGAGAAGTTATCTTGCTTATCTGGAGAGGCAAGAAATTTGGACACTCTTATGCTAATTACTTATCATACAGTTTCAACTTCTTAAGCAGGAATATGGAGCCAGTAAGGAACAGTCAATGTGGTACTATCTTCTCAGCCACTTGAAGGAGGGCCAGAGGAAATGTCTATTCCTCTTAAATGGAACAGAATAAATGGTACAGCCACAAGCATGGCATGACAAAAGCTAACATTATAAGAAATCTACTGTACAAAGTATTTCATATTTTGAGAAAGACTTAATTTGGCTTCCAAAATTTAGGAAAGCAATTGATTAGACCAGTTGATTATCAAGTAAGCTTAAGGAAATAAATAAAAGCAATAGCAAATTTCAAAAACAATCTCTTCAAGCTCCTTAACAGATCTAACGTTGGTAAGAGGTAATTCAGTATTTGTTTTACCTGTCTATAGGTATCTTGATGACTCTCATCATTTCTGGAGTCATAGTATTGTTCAACAAATGCAAAATACTCTTTTCGTTTCCTTTGTAAAGTGCTTTCTCTTCGGTCCACATTTGCAGGAAGATAACCCTGAAAAATAAAAAAAGAAGAAATGAAAAAGATCTTACTCTGCTTCACAAAAAGGACAGTTAGCATTTGATTATATGCAACAGGAAAGCTAATGAACAAATGTAGTACAATGCAATCCTATTTTGGTCTGAATAATACCTCAGGAAATCAGTTTTCTAATCATTGTAACTGAATACAAAAGTTCAGAAACCAAGACCTTACAGAAAAAAAAAACTTTTTTAATAATACATTTCAAGTCTTTCATCTTTCCAAGCAGTTTCTCATCAAGAATTCTAAGACATTTGCCTTCCAAATAAAAAAAGTTCAAAACAATTTCAGAGAAATGTGAAGCTACTTGAGTTCATTAAGTTCTGCATCCCCACGTGGCCCTTATTTCAGGAATTTTATTCAATTTTTCAATAAAATGCATACTTGAGTTGCTCTGAAGTATGAATGACACTTACAAATATACTCGTTTAAATTATAGTTAAAACCATAATATGATGGTGTATTTACTGAAAAGCCTCAAATATTCTAGCTACTTTAACTCTCTGTTTCAGTTACAGAAATAATAATTTCAAGTTTTCTTTTCATCTAAAGAGGTTATGAAAAGTTTCAGCACAAACTGGACTCTTGGATATAAAGCTCATTAGTACATACTGCCTTAGTTGTTTCCTAAAAGTAGTTTATAAACATTACTTTCCACAAGGTACAGTCATGCTAAGGAATTTGTATGTCAGATATGCAGTTAATACGTATCTGAATTGTCCTTCAATGAGCTCACGTCCAACCTACCAAAGATCCCATCCTCCCACAAAAATCCACTCATTTTCTTCTGTCCAGTTTGATCTCTATTTCTAGGCTCTCAACCTACTGCCACTTCAAAACAGTCTCAAATGACCATGTCATCACTTTAAGAAAGGAACTACAACTGCTATTAAACGTTCCTATTACATAAATTGAATGTACTAGAAGGATCATTATTCATGTTACTACCTGCTGAAAGGTTTCTTCAGCATTCAAGAAGGGCTAATGTTTTCCCATGTGTAGCTTGATTTCAAACATAATACGGCAAAAAAAAGAAAGTTCATATTTTACATACATGGCAGACTTGAAAAATACACTTTGGAAAAGAATCTCTGTAAACCTAAATGGCTTTAATAGAGATCTAGCCACTCAAGAAAAAAAGATTAATATCTGCTATTCATATCAACTTAAATTATTTCTTGCCAGTATTACAAAAATTCTCCTTTCACGTTTTCAGGCACCATCATACTAATAGTAATCAGTAAAACACAGGAAGCAAGTTTGTTTTTTCAACCACGAGTTTTCTTACTAAAAATAATAATAAATTAAATCCTCATAACATCACAGAACATTCAGAGGAATCACAAAGCAGCTGTGGCTGCTCCACCCCTGGAGGCACCCAAGGCCATGTTTGGTGGGCCTGGCATCCTGAGCTGCTGGGTGGCAGCCAGCTCACGCAGCAGATGATCTTTCAGGTCCCTTCCATTCCAAGCCATTCTATGATGTTAGAATTGCAGCACGTGGTTGCACTTGAACAACGTGCCCTGGCCCAAGTAACTAATTTGATGCTATGCATTTAGCTACCAAAACGACTTTCTTACTCAGTCCTTAACATGAGAAGTAAAAACGGATTTAGGGTAAATGTGATGTGCTACAATTTCTGATTCTACAATAGAATCAAACACACTGAGGATAAATGCTTGGATTTCATTACTCTCCTCCAACAATCCAACATCAAATCCCATTTCTACACCGTTCTGCCAAAAACAGTAAAATTAAAACCCACACACTAGAGTATCAATTGTTTATGTAAATATCTTTGTACTAAAATAACTAAAAATATGCTGTATTGTAATTCCTTCTTAAAAAATGACAAGAAATTAAGCACAAATATTACATTCTAGATGGCTTAACACATACTTGCTTTAGCAAAACCATTTCTTTTAAGACGTACTGACTTGCATCTGATTCTGGCTATTTTTCAATTGCATCCTCTTAACTTTTGCCTCAAGATTCAGACTGACACTTAATATCCTGTCCCAGTGCTCTGAACTTAGTTAAATATTGAATTCTGCTTCACATTTATTCTATACAGTTTGATTTTTTATTTTTTTTTTCTGTAGGATATCTTAGCTCCATTAGAAAAGAATTCATTTGTGAGATCAAATGTGATTGTTCCAAGGATACCAATATTTTCTCAGCAGACTTTCTGCCATTACTCTGTTTTGAAGACTGAAGCCATCTTTCAGTAGGACACATCCTGTTTCCCGCTCACTTTACAAAATTAAGTTTTATTTTTAAAAGTAGGTAAGGATAGCAAAATACCATCAGGGCATAAATTGGTGGAGGGTTTATCTATCAAATTCCCTCCAAAGGCAGCCATAGCTGCTATTCAAAACAACATTGGGCCTGAACAATTCTGCTTGTTCTCTAAGGATGCGATGCCTGGCTTTTTTTGTGTGATTTTTTTTTTTTTTCCCTTATACTTCAGATATAAATCATGTAAATTCTCAAACTGTTAACAGTAAACGTGATAGCAGTGGCTTTTCAGCACTACATTGAATTTCATATCTTTCTCCTTGAAAAAATATTTTAATCAAATATTTTAACACTATTATTTGGAACTTAACCTACCCTTCAGCCTCAGCTTAATCAGGCTTCAAAGTCAGTTTTGAGTAAGTTGTAAATTTCTGACTGAATATTTTACAATAGACATCCTAAATTTCAAAAAATAAAACTGTCTAATGTTGGACAACTTTAGAAGCAGAACTAAAATATATTGTACAATGCCCACTTAATCTCAGTTAGCACTGAATATTTGCCATTAAGAAGCTGCATCTACATTTTGAATCAGTGGAACTAAGCTGCAAATTTAGTGGAACTCATTAGCAAGACAGACTCTTTCAGTCACTGGAAATCAAACTCAATGTGAAGTAAATACTTCACGTTCCCTGCTGAATTTATTCTATAAAAAGCAAAGCTATTTAAGTCTACTCTCTGAAAAATTCAATAGTGTTAAACTGTTGTGTATACAACTCAGAATTTTAAAGAGTTCTTAAATGCATGAAGATTTGCTGATAAAGTGTCTTTCACAGTCTCCAGAGAGCAGACAGCACGAGATTTTTGCTTCTCTTTAATAACAAACATTTTTGCAAGTTCTCTCAGCCTTGTACAAAGAGAAGCAGCTAACATGAACAACCACTTACCATGACAAGTTTTACAGCTGAAAAGACTGATACCAGAAATATTCCTGCCAGGAATACACAGTATTTTTGCAACAGAGCCCTTCATAAATAACAGCACAAACAGTGAAATAAAAAGGTTCACTTCTGCAACATCAAACCCAACAAGCCCCAGGTTCCCATAAGCTCCCTATGCTGCCTTGTCTAAAGCACTCAAGTGTGGGTTTTTTTTTTTGCTGCTCCATGGTATTTCAATCTGCACCCAAGCTACTGCACTTCCAAACTCTTCCCACCTCCAATACAGAACCCCAGATGAGGTTCTGAGCCAGCACTCATTGAGGCAAAAGCAAACAAGTGATCAGCTTTTCAAGCAGCTTGGTTCCCTGAATTGACTCAAGCCCAAGAGGAGGAGATCCAATGCCACAAACAAAGTAACTGATCGCAGCTGTTTGGATTTGTTCACCTGAAACTAATATAAAGAAAAAAAAAAAAAAAAAAAGCCAAACCCAAGCTCCTTTCACAGCTTTTCCTCAATACAAAGCTAATCCTTCCTGCGGAGAGTCTAGTACTTACTGTAATGTCAAGCCAGATGAAAGCCTTTTGTGGGACACAGATAGCCTCTGCTTCCTCCCTGCACGCCTATTTTAAAGAAAACTGTAGGAATTCACTTGTCTTTCAAGTCTCCAGTGTTGGCTCAAATCTGGTGAAAGAGGCTACTTATCACGTAAGTCCTGCTTTCACAGAAAGCCAGGCTGAAAATAAAAGTACACAGCTGGCATGATTTATTACCACTTCTCCTTCTCCTCCTTTCACTTTGACAAATTCATCTTATAATTGAGCAAAGAACAGAATTTTTATTACAGTTCAGCAACAAGACAATGCTTTCAAGTATTACTGACGGATTACAACACAGGCAAAAATATCTGCAATTCCTGAAGAAAGCCATTACTGCTAAACAAGAAGACAAAAGTAAAACTTACTGAAAGCAGCTTCCACGCAATGGGACGAACTCGTTTGGGAACTCCAGACCAACTCAATTTCCGTAATTCTTCTATTAAAAGAAAAACATTTTATGATAACTAAAAAAAAAAAAAATTATTCTAATATACACAGATATATTTAAATTAGCAAAAAGCTGTTTATATTATGTCTTCTTATGAAGTCCAATGAAATCAAATTATATGGCAATTCTAAAGAATTAATAAGACAGTGGATAATTACTTCCCGTAGGGATAACTGTGATAACAGGCACTGTGTGATGAGGCAGCTTTTTGAATTACTGCCCAGTTGTTGTTTTTTTCTTTTAAATATACTTGCCATATATTAATATGCAAGACAGATTCAGCTCTATTGCATAATAACTTATGCAGATCCGAATTAAGAATGAGATTTGCAGTTACATAAGCAGAATACACTTTATGTTTGCACGTTGGAATTTAGTTCAGCATTATGTTTTCATTCTGCATGCTGCATTCCTCTCTCAAAAGCTCTTCATCAGACAGCACAGCCAGCTAAAGCAATCTGTGAGATTTCACACATTTTTTGTGAAATCTGTTTATTGTGGAGGAAAAAAAAGTTACAGAAAAATCATTGATAATGTAAAGACAAAAGATGCCTTAAAGTGTCCCTATGAAACAATATTCTTTAGGTATCTACTTCAGGTAGTAGCTCTTCTTACTTGGAATAGGAAATCAGGGTAAAAACAAGTTCAAATTATTAACACGCCAAAGAACACAGAAGAACAAAATTATGTATTTCTTTTAATATATTTTTTCCAATTAGTTCTGCATTTTTAAACTCACTATCTATATTCCAGTGAATGTTTTCCAGATTCTGTACTTCAACTAAGGTTTTAAATAAAAAAACACAGAACAAAGTAATTACAATAAGAACTTGTCCAGTGAGTGTATTCTGTAGTTCTGTTTTAAAGTAACAAATTTGTATCTTTATAACAGAAGAAAAAATTCAAGGAGAACAAGGTGATACTGTGTTAAAGCAAGAACACGCAAATCAAGGTGTTTTTGCTTCTTGTTGTTGCTTGTTTTGTTGTTTTTTGAGGGTTTTTTGTTTGGTTTTTTTTGTTTTGTTTTTTGGTTTTTTTGGGTGTTTTTTTGGGGTGTTTTTTTTTTTTTTTTTGTACTATCAGTACAAACTTCATTTAGAGGTATATTGTACACAACAGCAAAATAAGTAACAATTTAGGAATAGCATATCAAGCATCACTAAAAGATAAATTGAACCTTGTGCAAACCAAAGACTTGAACATCAAATATCAGAAGTGTAACAACAATACAACAAATGTGAAGTGACATATTTGACTTCCAACAAGCTGAAGATTCTACAGCCATAGAAAAGTATCTTCAGCACCCATTAAATGCTGAGGCCCAAAATCCTGAGCTCCCCTAATGATTTTTGTACCTCTTTATACTTATGCATCAACATGAACAAGAATACACATTGGAAGGAAAAAACAAATACAAAAAGTCCAAATGTTCCCTGCCCTTCTATAATCTAAAGGCTGTAACAAAACTATGTCCGGAAAAATAAAATCCTACTCAGTTTCACAATGACAAAATAATGCCAGTATATCGACAACATTTAAATACACCAGAGCTATTGAAGACACAAAAGATTCAACTCAATGCAGTTATTCCTGATGTTACACCACCTTTCGCCAGCTTGGCTGTTTTCTATCACTAACACTGAAATATCACAGAATGGCCAGGGTTGGAATGGACCTCAAGGATCACGAATCTCCAACCCCCTGCCACAGGCAGGGCCACCAACCTCCCCATTCAACGCTAAACCAGGCTTCCCAGGGCCGCATCCAACCTGGCCTTGAACACCTCCAGGGACGGGGCATCCACAACCTCTCTGGGCAGCCTGTTCCAGCACCTCACCACTCTCTCTGTAAAGAACTTAAATACTGCATTACTGGCAAGGCTTCTAAAACTGAAGTCTAGACAACAGATTTTGCAGGCTGTTTTGTTTGTTTGGTGATGTTCTCCCCCCACTAAGCTTCATTATCTTCACTTAACTGAACATTTTGCAAAAACGTCTCAACAAAAAGTTTTATCTTGAGGGTTTTGTGTTGTTTTTTGGTTTTTTATTTGTTTTTTTTTGTTGTTGTTGTTCGTTTGTTTTGTTTGGGTTCTTTTCAGTCTCCTAATAATTAACTTAATTCTAAGGTAACTAAGAATTTTAAGGTAACTAATTCTAAGGTTGCACCACAGGCAGTTTTGCTGCCACATCTCTCTTCTTTTACCTATAATTTTTGAAAGAAAATAATCAAATGTGAATGTGATTGTAAACACAATTATTCTTTGAATGTGTTTTGTTCTAAAATGTTTGTCTCAACCTAAAAAATAATTTCATCTTAGTGCTTTCCTTATACCACAATATAAAATCCATTCATTTTTAACTATCAGCTTGAGAGTTACTGAGTAAAACTATTGTTTCTATTACTTCTTCCTCTGAACTATATAAAAAAAAAAAAAAAAGAACAAAGACAAGAATCTAGGAGTTTTTGTCCACTTGGCAACTTACAGTAGAAATGTATTATTCTTCCATGGTTTAATGAAATAAATACATACAAAGTGTATACATTGTATCAAAAATAAGGAAAAGCAGTGAGAGTTGAAGCTAAACATAAGCAGAATCATCATATGCCTTCAAAAGCATGCAGTACTTCTGAGGTAGAAGAAACCCTAAAGCACGCTTTTTACAAAACCCCAAGGAATCCCAGCAAACTCTTCCCCTGTTCTTCATATATAGGATTTTATTGGCACTGGAAAACTATTGAACAAGCAAAGGAGCAGAAACTCCAAAAAAAAAAAAAAAAAAAAAAAAAAAAAGTGATACTATTAGAGTTACAGTGTGAGACTGCTAAAGTAACAATGAAAGCAGAACTTGAACAGACTATCAACACTGACTAAGAGGGTGAAGTTGAAAGCATTACATCACAGGTTAGCACAGCAACTACATGGGAAGCACGCTGTCACTGAAAACAAAGGATTCACACACACACGTAAAATAAGCAAATTAATTCCTCCAATCAGAAGTGATTCATGAACGCCGATACTAAATTTCCTGTAGCAGTACTCAGGATCATACATTTAAAGATAATATTTAAAAGAAGAGCTGATGTTAAATAGTTTTAAAGGAAAAGACTACTGGATGTCATGAACAATGGGAAAAGAGCCACAGATGGATTCTGAAGAAAACCCAAGAATGCACAAGATAGGGAAGAAGAACAAACAAACAAAAAAGCACACCAACAGCTCTGCCATGACACACAGCAAGACTGTGATACAGAGCACAGCTGGAAAGGAACAAGCTTCATTAAGTATAGTTGCAACGAAAAGCAGATGGACTATAGAAAGAATTAAAAAAAAAAAAAAAAAAAAATCAGGAGAAGATGAAAAGCAAGCAGCCATTTTAAAACAGCAGTCTGAGTACCTCACCATTTGGAGCAGGCTTTTTGTTTCTCCAGGATTAGCACTGAAGAACTAATTTTTTTGAAAGGGGAGACACAGGGAAGAGTTGGTAGGAAGCAGAAAAGCACAGAAATAATTCAACGAATAAAATATTACATTATGGTGGTATTAAGAAATCATCTTCAGAAGATTTTGATCTTTGGCCCTATACAGAAATCTATCAAGTAAGTCCAAGTTAAAACAAAGCCTTTGCATTCCAAAAAGCAGAAACACTCAGCTTTGTAACAGGTGTCTGGCATGAAGATCAAGGTTAAAAGGCAAACTGTAAATTCCTACTCCACAGTTTAAGACTTTACAGTTTTGTTAATTTTGCTTAAGCAAGCAGAAGACGGAATTATTAATCTGATTTACATGCAATTCAATATCCATCTCATTTCAGTGTGAATCACAGAATCATAGAACAAGTTGGAAGGGACCCACAAGTACCACCACTCCCGGCTCTGCAAAAGACCATCCACGAAAGCAGACCCTGCATCTAAGAGCAGCATCCAAACATTCCTCAAACTCCAGCAGCTCGGCGCCGTGCCCACAGCCCTGGGCATCCCGTTCCGTGCCCACCGCCCCCTGGTGCAGACCCTTTCGCTCACCCCCAGCTTCCCCTCCCCTGACGCAGCTCCATGCCGTTCCCTCGGGCCCTGTCGCTGCCACACAGAGCAGAGCTCAGCGCTGCCCCTCAGCTCCCTGTGAGGAGCTGCAGCCATCAGGCCTCCCCTCAACTCCTCAGCTCTGGGCTGAGCAAACACAGCAAGCTCAGCCGCTCCTCACACACCCTGCCCTCCAGACCCTTCCTCATCTTCATATCCCTCCTCTGGACGCTGTCTAATAGCTTTATGTCCCTCTGAAGCTGTGGCACCCACACTGCACCCAGTGCAGGAGATGAGGCCGCGCAGTGCAGAGCAGAGCAGGACAAGAGCTCCTCTTGCCTGCTGGCAGTGCTGGGCCTGCTGCAGCCCAGGGTATGGTTGGCCTTTTGGGCTGCCAGGGCACACTGCTGGCTCTTAATTTGTCATCAACCAGAACCCCAAACCCCTTTCTGCAGGGCTGCTCTCCAGTCTATCATTCCCCAGCTTGTACATACATCTCAGGTTGTCCTGTTTCAGGTACAGAACTTGGCACTTGCTCTAATTAAACTTCATATAATTGGCAATTGCCCAGCCCTTTAATTTGTCAAGACCTCCCAGCAAGGCCTCTCTACCCTCACAGAAGTCAAGATTGCCACAACAGGCCTGGAACAGGCATTAACACAGTGATTCCAGGATTCTCAACACATCCATCCCAGTGTTCTCTCATCAGCCAAGAAACACCACACTCAAGTCCTCCTGACAGCCAAAACAAGTTTGATTCACACAGTATGGTCTTAACAGGTTTGGTTTTATCGTCAGTACCAGATGGCCAATAGGTACTCCCCCAAGAATACCTGGTCAAATGATTGCTTCCTTTATCCACTTTTGCTATTACTTGATGTAATCATCCTTCTACTTCACCTTTCTCTAACTTAGACTTGTCTTAAATTAACATACCACACCAATTACTTCATCACCCAGCAGTCCCAGTC